GTTTATGTATGTTTTTAATTTATAACTAGATTTTTACCCCGTGCATCCGCACGAGAATTCTTTTTAATCAAAATTTGTAATATAATTTATGTTTTCTTTATAGATATAATTTTTCTGTTAAATGACACAGATTTATTTTTGTGTTTAGACATAATTTGTTTTTTTTTTAAATTTAATATTATTTTGATCACGATCATAAAAACATAATTCTAATTCGGTCATTCTATTAATAAAAAAATGACCGTTTTTATATAAAAAAAAATCTAACTTGTTCATTATATTAATCCAAAAAAAATCGTAGTTATAAAACCATAATTCTAACCTCCACGTTCATATCACTATATAATGTAAATATTTACTAATTTTGAAATAATTTTTATCTCAACCCGCATAAAATCACAATTATAAAAAAATCTAACTCGTTCCATCAAATCATTATATAATATTAATATTTATCAGTTTTCAATATGTAAAATTTTAGTGTAATTGAATATGATTAAAAAATATAATAAAGTATTTATTAATCATATGTGTTATTCTGAAAATATTATTTAAATTTCAAAAGTTAAATTAAATCTAACATATATTTAAGGAAGTCTAAAATAATTTAAATTAATATCTATTTTTCAGAATTAAATTTAATTACAAAAAATAGTTTGAATTAATAACCTATATTTAAGGAATCTTTTAATTATCATAAATATCTAATTTTCGGAATTCAATTTATATATAAAAGAAATATGTTTTTAAAATAATATTGCAATAAATTATGATAATTTTAATTTTTTTTCTAAATATATATTTTTTTAAAATAACTTTAAGACTGTTTGGAAGCAAGTACTAAATGTGCTTCTGTTTTAATATAATAGATAACAATTTCCTTTTAAAAGTTTTTTTTGGTAATTCATTTTAGTATTATTTTCTATGAAGCTTCTAAAAAATAATTAGTGATGATTTCACAATAATTCTGTAACGAATTTTTAGTCATAAACCGTGACGAAGTTGGGATTTATCGGTGACAATTTTTGGGTCGTATGACTATTTAAGATTATAATGTCATCTTAATCTTATATATAAAAGTTGCTGAACTCTCTCCAGATTGCGACACGTCAGCATCTGCAAAAGTGACACCTGTCCACTTGTATATAAGATTTTAATATTAACTAATTCTACATTAATGTTATTTATAGAAACAAGTTTAGTTATTTTCAGTTACGTAATAATACTAATATTAACATCAGTTTTTAATAAATAATACAAGTCTTACCAACACTTATAATAATTGACACTTATTTAGCATCACTTATTTGTAACACTTATTTGTAACTGATATAATTATTATATTAATTAAAATTACTGATAATTATTTACAATCATTTATCATAAAGAAATAAATTATAATATTATTTATTTTACTTGAACCAAATGTTAACATCATTTATTACAAGTAATACATATTAACATCAATTACTACAAATGATGAAAATATTTACATCAATTGATAAAAGTGATGCAAAACATTAGAGCCAAACAAATTTGTATCATTCAAAAAATGATATAAAAAAATATAATAAATAATACTACACACCTTAATTGTTGTAGTGTAAGTTTTAAACCATTCAAAAAAATGAAAAGTTTTTTTAATTAATTGACTCTTAAATAATATTTATGTATATGTTAATCAAGAATTTATGTTATAATTAATTAAAAATATTGATGGATATTTATTTATTTTATATAATTCTAGATTACTTAATAATATTCAATATGTATTTTAAATTATTTTTTTTAAATTGTTTATAATAACATACTAACAAATGATGATTATATTTACTTTTACAAAAATATAAATTTGAATTAGTTGAAAAAACCCGCACGTTTTGTGCAGGTATTCACCTATTTAGTGACAAAGTTGAAATGTTATAACAGTCACAAAACATGATGTTTTTAAGACTATTTTTAGTCGGAAACTATAACGAATATGTGACATATAATTGGTTACTACTGGTGACGATTATGAGACTATATTTAAGGGGGGTTATTGGGAGTTGGATTTATGAAGATTTTAGTTGATTTTAAAAATCATGAGATTTGTCAAATTTTTAAGAGTTTTGTTGGATTTGTAAAATTTAGAGAGAGTTTTATGGATTTAAACAATCTATTAAGAATTTTTTAATATGACAGATTTTGAGAATCCAAGGGATATAGGTAGTATTTTGAAAATCATGATTTATGAATTAAATTACAAAGAATCATTATGCCAATAACACTAGATTATAACAGAATCATAGAATCATTAAAATGCAAACTTTTTGAATAACAATGGATTTTGATTAGATTATAAAAATCATCATATCAATAACAACTGATTTTTATAATCTTTAAATGAATAATAGATGAATCTATTAAGAATGTAAAAATCCACAAACCAATAACTATAGAATCTTAAACTCTAAAACTCTTTATAAATCAACTCTCCAATAACACCTCTTTAGTCACTGGTTGTGACGATTTTGAGACAATATGATGGTCATAAATTACTACAATTCTGATGCAAAATTTTAGTCGCTAATTGTGACGATTTTCTAACTTTTATGTATTGTCAGAATTTATAACAAAATGGTACTAAATAAATTCGTCACAAGACTTGTGGCGTTTTGTTACCAAAAAAAAATTGTGGCGATTGTATTGTAGCCGTTTTAATAAGGTCACTAGACCTTTTCTAATTGAGAAACTTTGTTCTCGTTAATATATAACTCAAAAGGGATCTTTTGTTTGTTCTCTCGGTGACCTAGTTTTCTGAAAATTATCATCATGGCTTCGTCAAAGCGTTCGTCGTCGTCGCTACCTTTTGAGTTAGTAGAAGAAATACTTTACATGATATAAGATATTTGATTGTCAAGTTTCTGTTGGACTAAAATTTAAAATAAGGTTCAAGTGGCTCATTAAAATCTTGAGTGTGTGAAAAGTACCGGGTCACATAAAAATATTGGTTATAGAGTAAGTGGGAAATGGCATTGTCCCATATCTAAAATTTGGAAAACTTTGGAGTAATATACATGTATGAACTAAGATATGTCTTTATTCAAAGAATGTGTGATAGAAAAGGAAGGAGGCTCCGGTGCGCCGCTGCCGAGCTGAGCCGGGCTTGGGCTCGGGTCTCAGGTCTACGGATGAATGTGGGTCTTTAGTCTTAGGTCTCGGGGTGAATGTGGGCCTTTAGCGCATAATAAGATGTTCTTTTTGACCTTGTTTTGGTTAACGTTTTTGGTCCAAAACGAAAGATCTTTGGTTTAAATTCGAAGAGATAGTGGACTTGATTGAGTTAAGGGTTTGGGTGGAAACGATAGATAGGTATGCATTCTTGCTTCGTTTATCCTATCTCAAATCTCGGGAGATCAATTTTAGAGTTATTCACGAGTTTGTAGTTAGTGTGGAGGAGTTTTTATGTTGAGTTCTTAGTTTTGAAATTGTTTTGAGAGTGATGTTGTCAGTCTCTTGAGGATTGGAAATTAACACTCTGATCTTCTTCTTGTACATATTAACTGTGCTTGGATTTTGATTATGATTGATATGTTGCAAGATGATAGTTCCAATTTTTTTTTTACCTGTAATATTTAAGACTGCTCTTTCTAATTTTTCAGGAAAAAAGGGAACCAGTTACAGCCTAAATACTACATCTCAACAAAGTCTTCAGAAACATATGGTATCTGGTTAAAGACATCTTTACGATGATGGTACAGTCCCTTTTCGTTTTTCTCTAGGTTTGGAAAAGATGCTGATAAGCTTAGCTTGAATTTTTTTTTGCAGTGGAGTTTGCCTAGGGAGCCTATGAACTCTAACAACGCAATAAGCTTCCAAGTCTCCAAGAACCCGAAACCTAACTTTGTGTTTTGTTCTGTCATGCAAACATTAAGATATAATCAAGCAGGAAACTTGGGTGTTTTTGTTATAGGAAAGAACACGTCGATAACTTCGTTAACAAAGCCATCAATACATCTGCTTAATTAGAGAGAAGCGCTCTCTCTTGCTTCCTGAAATCAGGATCTACAACAATGAGAGATTTCCTCTCCTCTCAAGTCTTTGGTATACTTGTGTTGTAATTTACTCTCTCTGTCTCTCTCTATTACTCTCTCTTTACGAAAGGAGTATATTCATAAAGGAAAAATAATAATAGTTGATGTATCATGAAAACTAAAGGTTACTTTAGGAGAGAAAAAAAAAATGGAAATCCCTATTTCCCTCTTTTTACTTATTGTTCAAGTATTTCCTTTTCAATACTTTACTTTTTATGCCGACAACATTAAGAAAAGGGAAATTCAGCTCAAAAGGTAAGTACTATAAGATTTGAACTAGTTAACTTTGCCGCGCCTTGCGCGGACTGATATAATTTTCCATTTGATTGTTTGAAAATCTAATAGTAGTTTAGATTCATTTGTTTTTTATTCTCTATTTTTAATATATTTATTTGTTAGATTATTATGCATGTTAATGTTTGAAAACATTATCGTGAAAACAATATAAAAGAGAGTAAATAAAAACATATTAGTATCCAATAATTTAGTTTATATAGTTTTGAGATCTTTTGACATTATTCTATGCATTTTAGACATAGTTTTTAAGTACCGTACGGACTTATTCGATTTTGATCACTGTTTTATATATTTTAAACATCACAACTATCATCATTTTGTTAGATATTCTATTATTTGATTTTTACTTTTTTGTTAGATTCGACTAAATATCAATTTTATTAAATATAAAAAACAGTATTGACAATAAAGTAAATTATTAAGCCATATAATTCAGACTAATATGATTTAAGTTATTTTTTATTGAATACTTATTTAGAAAAACATTAGTATATGTTTACCTGATGATTCCATAATTTTTTAGTTAGAATGAAGAAGAAGGAAGATGTTAGACAATTATGAAAGTTGTGAAAAAATTAGAGAAAAGTGGTTATTTATACTAAATTATAAGAAATTGAAAACCATATAAACTTTTTTTTTTAACTTTTTTGTTAATTTTTTGGGTTAAATTTTGTTTTTTTTTGTTTTCATACTATATTTCATTAATTTTTAAATATATTCTATTTTTGTTTCTTTTAACATTTTTGTTAGATTTTTTTGTAAATTTTGGAAATATAAAAAATGGTAATCACTAAGAGATATAGTTTCCATATTTGTTTTAAAAAAAAAAAACGTTTTTGTGGTTTTTTTTAAAATGTTTTTTTAGTGGCTGATATTAATACTAAACTATAAGAAATCAAAAACCTTATAAACATAAGAAATCGTAAACACTATAATAATTAACAATATTCTAGCCTAAATTTTGTTAGATTTTAGTTAACATTTTAGTTAGATTTTTTGTTTATTTCGACGACATTAGAAATGGTAAATTTATAGTTTTTTTTGTTTATTTTGAAGAAATTAGAAATAGTAAATTTCTAGTTTTTTATAAAAATATTTTTGTTTATTTCGAAGACATTATAAATGGTAAATTTATATTTTTTTATAAAAATATTTTTATTTTTTCTCCTAGATTTCGGTTTTATCTAATTTTAAAAACGGTTTGATTGAGTAAGAAATTAAACATTAAACTATAATAATTTAGACCGATTTGTTTTAAGTTTTTTTTTATACGTCATTAGATAAGAACCAATCAAAAAATGATACATAATTAGAAAATAGGGCCAAACGATCTTTTTACGGTCGAAACTCATTTCGGAGCTGACACATATGCAAAAAAAAAAAACTGTGAAATTTGCTGTGAGCGCGACAAATAAGTATATAGATAGATAGACTTCCCCGCGATTTCGCAGAGGCTCAAGACCTAATCTTATATACTAATAAAAGTTGAAGCTATAAGCTTCTAAGGGTGTCCACATAGGATTTAAAAAATTAATTTTATTGGTCCACATCAACATTCAAAATTAAGGAAAATTTACAAATCGTAGTATTATTGCTGAAAAAAGAAAATTAAGAAGGTGTCCACATAAGATTTTAAAAAATCAATTTTATTGGTCCACATCAACATTCAAAATTAAGGAAAATTTCTAAATTATAATATTATTACTGAAAAAAGAAATTAACAAAGTTTATTGGTCCAATAAAAAAAAAAATTTATTGGTCCACTTCAACATTAAAAATTGAAAAATGTCTGTATAAATTTTTATTGGTCCACCTCAACATTAAAAATTGAAAAATTTATAAATTCTATTATTTTTAAAAAAAATTATTAAAAGTAAAGAAATTATATATAAAATTCTTATTAATAATAAAAAACTAAAAAAATAATAATTTAAATTAGATATATATACACACATATTTAGAGACTCTTACATTAGCATCCAATTTTTTTGTCACATAATTATAATAATTTTTAAGTTTTTTATAGCTTCAACTTTTATTAGTATAAGATTACAAAGAATATAATAAAATAAAATATAAACAAAACCACTACAAGAACAAATTTGACTAAACTATATGTTTAAATTATAAAGAATATAATGAAAAGAGATATAAACAAAGGCACTACAAGCCGCTTTAATATTGAAAAAAAAAACCGTAAAATCTTCAAATTTTGGCCACCAAATTTGAGAAGAATGATAAATTTCAAGCAATCCGAGAAACATGTCAAATGATTGATACTCAACCCTTTTGAAAAACCAAGAACTGAAAATAGAGAAAAGAACATAGCGGAGGAGACTGAGGTACCTGAGGAAAATTTTTGAAATAACATAGCATATGAATGGATTTTAACAACCCAACCTTAACCACAAAAGTCATAATTAGCTGACCAAAGCAGCATCCAAATACATTCAGTAAGCCTCAAAATAAAGAGGAGAGGCTAAAATCACTTACCGCGACGGGCCTCGTGTGAGATTTTTCAGTTTTGATTTCTAAATCTATTATTAATAAAAGTTAAAGTTATATGCCTCTAAGAATGCTCATATATAATTTAAAAGTTTAATTCTATTGGTCCACATCAATATTTAAAATTAAAAAAATTTCTAAATTTTAAAATTATATTGTTAACAAACAAATCTATTTACAGAAAAGTAAAAATTGAAATTATCTGCCTCTAAAGACATCCACATAAGATTTAAAAGGTCAATTTTATTATTCCACATCAATCACTAATTTTTTTTTTATAAATTATAAAATTACATTGTTAATACAAAATAATATAAGAAAAAGTGTTAATCAAAATTATTCTATTATTAATGATAGTTAAAGCTATATTATTTTCAAGGCATCCACATCAGCATTTAAAAATTTATTTTTATTCGTATATATCAAAATTATAAATTAAAAAAAAAAGTTTCATAATTCTAATATTATGATTAAAAAATATATTAAAAATAAAGAAATCTCTATTAACAAAAAAAAACCAACATGATATTAAAATCTATATCATCATTGTTTAAATCACAAATATAATTTATTGTCTATAAAAAATATATGCTACTTATACAAGTTTAAGTTATTTGATTTAAAAGTTTTTCATGTAAAATTTTAAATAACTAATATTTATGATTTATATTCATCTAATTTTTTTACATATGCAAAACATATCATCGAAATATGTAATATATTATGCAAAAATATGTAATATTTTTTCTCATGTAATATATTATGCAAAAATGATAAAAAAAATTTACATTTTATATATTCAATTTGGAATTCAATAGATTAATGTAGAAGTTTTTAGTTTTGAGTTGTTCAATTTGTTATTTCATTTTCTAAATTTATATGTATTAAATTGTATTGGTTTTGTCTACTTAGTGAGAATGAATATGATGAAACTGAATATAATCATAGAAAAATTATTAAAATAAATAAATATGATAGATTCCTTGAAAAAACAGATATAACAAGAATAAAAATGAAGAAGATGAAAAAACAATTTCATTCTTATTAGAAGAGATAACGTATAATCATTGAAAAATTATTTAAAAGTTTACACTACAAATTGACAAAAATATATTTATTCACAATTTTTGTTTGATTTTATTCATTTCATATTCAACTATTGTTTTGGTTTCAATTTAAAGTTGTTATTAATCTCAAAGCAAATATTTTATTTATTAGTTTGTTTTTAAATTAATATATCAAAATAAAAATTTGTATTTGTTAAACAAGAGAAGAAAAAAGATTCAATTTTATTTTTTTTATATATTTTTAAAGAACATATATATAATTAAAAAAAAGTGAAAATAATTAAAAAAAATTATTTTCTTGATTTAAAGAAGTGAATGTATAATATTAAAAAAAATTATTTTCTTGATTTAAAAAATTATGTAACATTTGATTAATTTGTAAAAATTTTAGAAATTTGTAAAAAATTTAGTTGGTTTAGGTATATTAACTTATAAGTGTTTGACCAAATAATACATTTTTGAAATATGATATATTGTATATAGATTCAAAACAAAACCGTTAAAAAAATGACAATTTACATAAAAATTATTAGATCAACACTATAATATTTTAATATATTATTAAAACACTAATAGATATAATATATATTTTAATAAATATAATTAATTGTATATAATTTTTATCAACAAAATACCTAGCTAGACCCAAAATCTAATTTATATTAAAAAAAAAAAAGGTTATCAACACCTTGTTCTCGTCCGTGTAACTCGAAAAGGGATTTTCTTTTTTTCTCTCGGTGACCTAATTTTCTGAAATTTCCATGGATTCGTCAAAGTCGTCACAGCTTTCGCCGTCGCTACCTCTTGAGTTAGTTGAAGAGATACTAGACTCCAATCGAATCTTTGGCACGTTTCAAATCGACATGCAAACAGTGGTACGCTCTTATTAAGGACAAAAGATTCATCTACAAACACTTTGATCTCTCCCACAAACGATTCATACAAGTCGATTTTCATAATAACTTGGTTAAAGTCTTCAATCCTGAGACCAAAGCTCTCTCATCTCTACAAGGCCCAACTAAAATTCGTGCAATGATTCACTGCGACGGGTTATTTCTATGTAAGTTTTGGGAAAGTAGTGGGACTGATTATACATCAAGAAAGCTCGCAGTTTGGAATCCGTTTTTGAGACCAGTCAAATGGATCAAACCCTCGAATTTTTATAAAAGGGATGATGTCTACGGTTTTGGATACGACAAAGTATCTCGTGACAAGTACAAGATCTTGAGGTTTTTGGACAAATCACATATTGAGATATATGAGTTCAAGTCTAAGCTCTGGAGAAGTGCTGATGCTGCTCTCGATTCGTGTGTAGATCTTTGGTTTCCACAGCATCAAGCTTTGTCTATGAATGGAAACATGTACTGGATTGCTCGAAGGAAAAAGAAGAAGGGTAACTCCGATGATAAAACGGGAATCTTCATCCAAAGTTTTGATTTCTCTAGAGAGACATTTAAAGACATAGGCGGTGTTGTTCCCTTTGAAACTGATTGTTTAGGTGTGAGTAGTGATAGTACATTAGTCATATCAGGTTTGGGAGGAGATAGGCTTTCTTTATTACGTCTACATGAACGTGAGAAGATTGAGGTGTGGGTTACAAACAAGGTGACTTATGATGGGGACGTTGTTTCGTGGAGCAAGTATTTTCATATTACTCGTCCTGACCACCCGATATGTCCAAGTTATTGCGGTTTCCCGGAATATTTCATCAACCACAAGACCAGTAATACCATGGTTTGTTGCGGGAAATATGATGCCACGACGCCTTATTATATTGATGTCGACGTCTACGAAATGGGTGACGGTGACATTAAAAAACACGTTGTCGCAGGATTCGGACATAGTAAGAGTTATGCTTTTCTTAACATTTGCTATGTCTATGTTCCAAGTCTGGTTCCGGTTCTTGAAGAAGACGAAGATAGTCCATGATGATGATGCAGCTCATCGATCTCTCTAATTTTCACAGCCTTTTTTTTTTTTTCTTTAGATTTTTCATGTTCGACTTTCCTTTTTATTTCCGTTATTTATTTCTTGCTAAGATTTTGGATTCCCTATTATTTTGGGAGTCGTTTATTATAAAGTGGGCATTAGAGAATGTTTTGATGATTCAGTCTTTTCTTTTGATCCAGAAACAAGTCTTTTCTTTTCTTTCATTGGTTGGTTTCCAGACATTTAACGTGAAAACATGGAGATGATCTCTGAAGCTCAAGAGATGATCTCTGAAGCTCAAGAGATGAAAATGAAGTTCATTTCCTGTTAACAAATTGGCAATGTACAAAGAATTTTCCTCTACCATTGCTGAAGATTGAGCTGGAGATGTCTTGTAGATCGGTCTTTCATATTTTTGGTCTATTATTAGTTTTGAAGTAGCTTCTTGTTTAGTGGTAACTTCTTGTTTCTTATTCTTTTTTTGGGGGGAAGATATAGTGACCAGAGATTTTTCATTTACTGGTTTTTATGATTATGTAAATGCTGTTTTATATGAATGAGAATTGAGAGACCTTATCGCTCAACAGTCTTCTTCTTTCGAATCAGCTTTGACACCAAACTTTTTTTTAGGCGCAATTCATGATGGGTTTAAATCCGGACCATCGACACATTACAGCAAACTAGGTCTGTTGATTTGAACCAAACCAAGTTTTCTGAACTGAACTGAACCGAAGACTTTGGTTGTGGATTTGGTTTGGCTATGGGTTGTGAACCAATCGACTAAAATCCATGTGGTTTCAGTTAGGTTTGGTTCGGTTTTTGTTCCTTTTTGTTCCCTAGTTTTCCCACACATACCAATTATACCGAGTTTTACAATTATAAATATAAAATTTCGAACCAAATAACCGTCTAACCAAATTTAATTGATAACCGACTTGGAACTAGAATACCAAAAATTTCGGTTGTTTTCCGGTTTACTGGTTTGGTTTTTAGCAACCTTTTCCCTTCTCTGTGTAATTATAGTCGGAAACGGATATCTGTGGAGGCGGCATTATCCTCGCCGCCCGCCGCCGGATCATGGGGGTAGTTTCGTCTTTTAACTTTTTGTCCCGAAAGAAGAAAATGATAAATATTTGTGTTTTTGGCCTTCTTCTTTAAAACGGAGAATCCCATTAATCGCGTGGTTTTGAAGACGAAGAGGAATAAGGGCATAACGAACAAAAGACGACACAGCGAACAAAAATGGGTGAGGTGGTCAAGGTAATCTCTCTGCTTCTGATTCTCATTTTGCTTATGCTTTAATCGGAAAAATCTCTTTCGTATCAATGATTTTTCGATCACCACTTCTTCTATTTTCTCGTCTTGCAAGCAGCTTAATTCCTATTCCTAGATTACTTGAACATTTGATTGCTTCAGAACATTTTTTCTAATAATTTTTATAGCTAATTAAACTCAAAATTTGGTTTTTTTCTCAATCGATCATTTCATCACAGCATCTATTCCAACTTTGATGTTTTTTTCCCTGTAATCAATTATTGATGTCTCCTTGTTTCACATGTTGTGTCTGTGTGTGTTTTTGCTTTAGGATGTAAGAGAAGAAGTAATCCAGGCTTGGTACATGGATGATAACGAAGAGGATCAGAGGCTTCCTCACCACAAGAATCCTAAGGAGTTTATCTCTTTGGACAAACTTGCAGGTGTGTGTGTCTTCAATGAACTCTCTGCTTCTCTGTTATTGTCTTTTGTTTTTCACATGTAATGTTTCTGGTGCAGAGCTTGGAGTCCTGAGCTGGAGACTTGATGCTGATAACTATGAAACCGATGAGGAGTTGAAAAAGATCCGCGAATCTCGTGGTTATTCCTACATGGTTTGTGTTTTGACCTTTTATCTGATGATTTTTGTTTGTTATCCCTTAGACTTGATTGCTAGATCTTTAGTTTCGATATGTTTTGACAAGACAGTGCGTCTACTTGAAGCAGTTTAGCTGCTCAAGCCTTATCTATAAGTAGCGAAGGATCGAATGTAGCAGATTTAAACGTTGTGTTGGTTAGAGAGCAAGTAATGAGGATTTCTTGGGAGATTGTTTAGGTGGTGGTTTGGTTGGGAGTTTAGAGTCTGTCATTGACTATCAAGTCCCTTTCTTTCTCTGTTAAACTTGTTGACCTGATATTTTGTATGTTAATTACTTGATTCCCAACCATTTTTATTTGTATATGTGTGCTCGAGTCTTGGTTTGACGATAGAAAAGTGTTTGAATTCAGGACTTTTGTGAGGTTTGCCCTGAGAAGCTCCAAAACTATGAAGAGAAAGTAAAGAGCTTTTTCGAAGAACATCTGCACACTGACGAAGAGATCCGTTACTGTGTTGCAGGAAGTGGTATGTATACTTTTTATTGGCTGCTTTACTTGAAAACAAAAAATCGATGTAGTCCTCAAATGTTTTAATTCCTTGGAAAAAAAAGGTTACTTTGATGTGAGGGATCGCAATGAAGCTTGGATTAGAGTATGGGTAAAGAAAGGTGGTATGATAGTCTTGCCTGCTGGAATTTATCATCGCTTCACCGTGGACTCAGACAACTATATCAAGGTCCAATGTTAGCTACTTCTTAGTCACTTATGTTGTGTGTTTTTGCGTGCTTAGAAAGTTGAAAATTATTCTGGTTTAAACAGGCAATGCGGCTTTTCGTGGGTGAACCGGTGTGGACACCATACAATCGACCACACGACCATCTTCCTGCAAGGTACACAATGTCCTGTTTTGCCCTCTGCTTTTGTCTCTATCTCTAGAGCTCATCAAAATCATTCCTTTGTGTTTTGTTCTGTTATGCAAACATTTGGATATAATCAAGCAGGAAACTTGTGTTTTTTGTACTCTTGGTACAGGAAAGAATATGTTGATAACTTCGTGAAGAAAGCCATCAACGCCTCTGCTTAGAGAGCTCTGTCTCACTACAATAAAGAGAGTTTCCTCTCAAATCTCATAGATATGTATGCATTGCCTGTGGAGAATGCTGGCTTTGGTGTGCTTGTGTTGTAAGCTTAAATTACACTCTCTGTTAAGTCTGTGTTTACCATTTCTATGTAATTATCCGTTTTACGAAGAGACAAAAATTACTTAAATGGGAATCAATGGTCAACGCAATCTGCTTGTGGTTCACAATCACACCTATTCAGATTAACAACCCGCACATTATCATTAATTCACATAATGCTTTGTGGTTGACACAAATATTCAAAGGAAGCCAATCTTATAGGCTTTGTGGCTTGACACAAATAATTCAAAGGAAACCAATCTTATATGCTTAGTTATTACTTAAAACTTTTGATATTTTAAGTTTTTAATTTTGCCTTTATGGCTTATGATCTGTCATGAAAACTAAAATTCTGAATCTTGGTTGCTTAAGGAGACACAAAAATAAAGTTTTATCACCTCTGGATTATCACCTCCATTGATCTGGATTATACCAGCTTTGAAATTGCATTTTTAGTCATTACACTAGATGTAGGTGAATTGTCAATTTTTTTTCATAAGAAAATATCTGTTTACATTAATTAAGTTCAATTTTGAGAAAATTGCAATTTCTTACCAAATCATATTGGGACAGCAACAGATCCTTGATCTCCATCTCATCAAAGTTGTCATGTTAGTCAAACTCGTATTGGTTATCCTGGAACTGCAAAAATTGTCAATTTACACGAATCAAAGTGGGAGAGAGGTGTCGCTGCAATTTCAAAGCCTCATCAACATAATCATCAGTTGGAGTCGCAGTGCCTTTAAAATTTTCATTGATAATCACATAATCGTGATAATTAAGCAGAGAATCATGATAATCCATTTTTTTGTTGTCTACAAGTTCTTCTCTGACCATTACTTTTAGTATTCATGATGAAATTAAAACTATACTAAAATTTATTGAGAAGCAGTACACATGAAAAAAGTCAATTATCACACTAAAATTGCACATGAGTTTTGGATAGAAATTGAGAAGATAAAAAAAGACACAATTGCAACTGCTTTTTTAACTTGTATGGATTCTGTTTTATGTTCTCTTTGAAATAATTGCTGAAATGGTGAAACCAGGGTGCATTGTCTCTGGCTGATGTCCTCAATTGTATCAGCGGGATATGGTCATCTTGTAGTGAAGATAGAATACAACAAACAACAAGGATTTGATAGATCCTGCTCCACTCAAGCTTGTTATGAAGGATTTCAAACTTTGGCCTTGAACTACCTCGGTTTGGAACAGCATCATCTCTTCCTGATATTGAACGACTAATCCAAAGAGAAGTCATCACTGCCATCAATCTTACAAAATCATGTTTTTATAAAAAAGTCAAATTTACGCATCAGCTTAGAGGACTCTCAGGAGGTTTCTATAAACTAAGCATACAATAAAGAGATATTTCTTTCTGATGTTGAATATATATATGCTTAGATGTTGTCTTTATGGTTTATTAGGTCGTCCACCAAAACAGAAAACACTTTGAATCGTGTGGATTTAGTATTATGGTTGTGTTGTATTGTTTCATGGCTTGATTACCATCTTTTATGCCTATATATATATATCTTCTGTAATATTTGGAGAAGAATCCAGATATGTTTTTGTTCTTGATCAAGTTTTTATTAGTCCAAAAAATCGAAAACCCTAAACTAGCTCATCTTACCACAAAGATCAACAACGAACCGATGATGTCCATTCTTTTTGAAGATTTGGTAGAGGAGATACTCTCAAGGGTTCCGGCTTCATCTCTAAAACGATTACGACCTACTTGTCAACGATTGAATGCATTATTCAATGATCATAGATTCACCAAGAAACACTTTCAAAAGGCACCAAAGGAGTTTCTTGTTCTCATGTGGGTGAGGTTTGAAGTTTATTTAGCTAGTATCGATCTTAGGGGAATTCAGAACAACTTTGATCCATCTATAGAGGTTAAAGGTGAATTTGGCCTACTTGGCCCCTATCTAATATCTCACTGCAACGGATTATTGCTATGCCGCGAGGGGACAATGGAATACGGTAGAAGACTCAAGGTTTATAACCCGTGTACGGGGCAAAACAGGTCAATCGACCTCGGAACTGATAACAGACAATTCAAATGGTTTTTTTTTGGATACCAAAACAACAAATCATCTAGTGCCAGCTACAAAATTTTGTCGTTTGATTGTCGTGCTGACAACTTTGTTCTTGAGTTTCAAATCTATGAGTTTAGCTCTAATTCATGGAGGGTTCATGATGTTGTCAATCATGATGATTGGCGCTTAGCATGTGGTCATCGTGGCGTATCTTTGAAGGGAAATACATATTGGATTGCTTCAGATACAAGAAACACATATCATGGCTTTTGTCGAGATATCTTTTTGCTAAAATTTGATTTTACAGAAGAGAGATTTCAACGTTTGTGTCTGCCGTTAAATTGTAATGCTGATGTCTTGGAAACTGTGGTGCTGTCTACTGTAAGAGAAGAGAAATTTGCTTTGTTAGTTCAGAGATTTGGTGAATCAACGATGGAGATATGGTTAACCAAAAAGATTGATGAGCCAAAGGACGTGTCTTGGAGAAAATTGTTTAAAGTGGATTTGGATTGTAACAATATGTTTAACAATTCCACGAGTTTCATGGTGGATGAAGAGAATAAAGCAGCAGTGTGTTGTAACAGAGAATGCAGAGTAGATGAAGATGGTTACAGGAACATAATTTACATTGTTGGAGAGGATAAATTCAGACAAGTTGATCTTCTTGGAGACTCTGCAACCCATCCAATTCGTTGGTTGCCTGAGCCTTTTTTCTTAAGTTATGTTCCAAGTTTGGTCCAAATCTAAGAAGCAAAAGAAGAATATAACGAGATTTGGTCTTTATATTATTATCATTTTTTTAATAGCCACAGTTACAGGGTGTAATTCAATCTTAGTTTTTTAATAGAATTTGAATCCGACAACAATGATTCTAAATTATGTTTAGTGTTATTACATCTTTCATTCAAAGCTAATTGAATCTTTGTAGGTTGAATCATTTGAAATGAATTCCAATGGAGTTTCATGAGATAAATTATGAAAAAGACGAGATCCAAAATATATAGCATAAATTGTAGAAACCAAACACAAGAAATCATTAGGACAAAACATAGAAAATACAAAACAGGACTTAGACGAGTGTCCCACCCGTAACATACTCAGTGAAGGCCAATGCGACGAGACCAAGCATCGCGAACCGACCGTTCCATAGCTCGGCGTCTGAGGTCATGAAGCCTTTGGACTTTGACTCTGCCCTTATACCTTTGAACAACGGAACCATCGATGCTAACGTCAGCAACGCCGTCGTTCCTAAGAACCATCCAGCGCCACCGTCGGAGATCTGAGCTAAAACGTTTTCTCCCTTTGAAAGCTCCACCGCGAGCGCCGCCACAAATCCCACCATTGCTAGCCTCCCGTTTATCCTCTCAGGCGCTGGACCGCTAAAGGCTAATAAGTCTCTAAACTTTGTACTCACCTGAATAAGTGACAAACCATTCAGCTCACAATTACATAATCAAATACTAATGATGATAATATATATATATATATATATACGTATATTTTGATTGGGATCTCAGCCGAAAAACCAGACTAATCTCTGACACTAAAAAAAAAAAAAAAAAAAAAAAGCTCTGACACTACTAAAATAAAACTGTATAGCTACGGATGTTTTCGTGGTTGTGGCTCTAAATCCGTAGCTATACAACCATTTAGCCACGGAAAAGCACACAAACTTTTGTAGCATGTAGAGCATTTGGTAATTCTTGTCATTTAAAGTATTCTCAATAGCTAACGATGACTGAAAATCGCAATAAAAACAACAAAAAAAAAAACCATCCTTAAACTCCATTGGTAATGATACTAGTTGACTTTGATCATACCTTAGGCTTGCTAGCTGGCTCTTGCGGTTGAGTGGCCGAGGTCGAAGGCAAAGAAGAGTCTTCTTTGATAGGATCGTTCTTAAGAAAGAGTCAATGAAACGAACGGTCAGAATTGAAAGTCAAACAATTAACGTTGGCAAAGTGATGAGATGAGATATATACCTGAGCCATGCACCTGACCCCCACCGAAGGATTCCTCTTGAAGAAGAATTGGTTTGTGTTTCTGATGTTGCGGGAACTCAGTCCACCGGAAGGTGCGGCGAACACAGACTGCATGTTAAACGACGCCGTTGCCATTTCTGATTAGGTTTACTTAGACGTCAAAGATGAAGAAAAAAATAGATAGAGAGAGGAAATTCTCGAATAAACACTAAGAGTTGAGAAATGAGATGGATCTGGTTTGTAGTGTAACTGAGCAAGATCATCTTTGTATTTATAGAGTGGGTGAAGGTGAATGTTAGGTCCAGTTATTTTCTGCATTTTATTTATTTATTTAGATTTATTAATTATAAATATGGGATATTTATTTCTTTTTATTGGAAAATTTTACTTTAAGATTTATATATGTAGTTACTACATTAATTTGCACATGATACTTGACACAACCTGTTTACCATGGTCCATGAACCAAAATTTACAGTAATAAAGTTTTAATTTATAACAAATTTAGGAATGAAAACATTTTGGGAAAGAAAAACATATGAAATAATTAGATTCGAAGCCAAATTTTCTTACCGAATTTGATAGTTTGGATAAGGTCGAGATGTTTTCCTACTTAGGAGATTTTTTCCATCCTTATTAACAGTTATTCTATACATGAATCATAGAATCTGTGAAACAGGCAATATACACGAATTTGAGTTGAACGTTATACAAATAAACACGTATGCAATAATTTACAAAAGAGAGAGAGAGAGAGAGAGAGAGAGAGAGAGAGAGAGAGAGAGAGAGAGAGAGAGAGAGAGAGAGAGAGAGAGAGAGAGAGAGAGAGGGAGAGGAAAATGAGATGAGGATTTGTAAGAAGCCACGTCTAGTTGAAAAGTGCAAGTGAATCGATGACTTGGTTTAATTCATCATCACACACACACAAACATCTCCCTTGTCGTTTTCTTATTGGCGAAGCCAAGTGGATTTTGGTAATAAAATCTTGTCTTATATCAAATATATAATTTTTCTTTTGTACATCAATCAAATATAAACTAAAACGGTACAAGATAAAGGTTTTGATAGGCAACGATACTAAAATAATTTTATAACTTTTTGAAAATTGTAATTGTTGGGATAAATTTGATAATTTCTACAAAGATAATGTACGTGGTGTTTATAATGTTTTTACAGATATAATCCTAATTCATATTAATCTTATAGTTCAATATGACATAAAATATATAGCACCAGATTTTGAATTCATTTGGATTCGAGAGATCCGACACAATGAACAACTTGTTTCCAAATTCATCGTATCTAACAGAATATACCACATTATTAAAAACAAGTAAGTCGGAAACTAAGTGGTCAGAAAGAGGACAGGTCACATTCTATATATCCTATGCCTAAGCTTGGTAATCCGGAATGGTCGGGATATAAGAAAGTATGACACGTACAGGTACCTTGAGAATGAAGTCGTCCATGGAGATAATCCTGACACCCCGATCCCAGTATCGAGGGATCCAAGCCAAATATGAATAATCCTACGAGTGGGAAACACTTTTCAAATTTTCCTCCATTCAAATAGGACTATGTCTTAATCTTATTTAATTGCCCATGTTCTTACAAACCTATGAGATTGAATGCATCGTTCTTACACGTGTCAGGTGATAATGACCCTTCGCAGAAGCTAGAAGAAAAGCAGAGGTTCACATAGACTATACCGCATCTGAACCTCCGACCCGACATGTACACTGGGGATGAAAGAAACACGCCAATGAGTGGTCTTGCAGCAGGCATAACACGTCAAGGAAAGTTGGTAAGACCGTCAGAGACATTACGCAAGCACAAGATTCAGATCCAATCAAGACGGGTCGAGGACCAACCCGCCCGACTCACGACCCAAAGATCGACCCGGTATAATAACTCATATCAGATAAAATCCTATAAATACTTTTTCCCTTCCAATAAAGAAAGGGATCACTCTTTTCAATAATTTTAAGGCTCATATTATCTCTCTAGATACTTATGATCTTTGAGCTCTAGCATCTTATACTTTCCGGTCATTACTCCGACCAACTCCTCGATTCCTCTCCACAGCAGTTTCTTAACCGTGAAACATTTCCACACACAAACTCTTTCGTTTTTTCTCTTTTCACCTCAAAAAGTCCATCACCTCTCAAAGGTTCGAATCGATTCCACCTTTCTAAGGAACATTCGACCAATTTTCCTTCTCCTGTTTTCCGAATTCTTTCCTTTCTCTGATTAGTCACTTTGTGATCTTTTTTACTGTATTCTGATTTGAGCGTCAGAGAACCTTCAGAAAACACACATTTATCATGTTTTCCGAACCTTCACATGTTTTCTGGTTTTGCGGAAGAATTGCCCCGCAGAGGACCGAAAATCTCCTAAACAATAATCTACTATTTAAGTTTTACTGGTCTTTATTGTACCAATTAACATCTTTCACCAACTGGATCTTAGAACATATGAACAGAATCATCACCTCTTATCGATACCGTCGTTTCTAACAACTGAGTCAATACCTAAATTAGTTTCCAAAAGTTTTAGACTAATAAAAAGCCAAGTATAGTATTGGTACGTATCATTTAAAATGTCTCGCCAAGAAATTACCATGATGAATACCATAATAATTTTCGTCGATGGAAAAACTTCACTGCAAAGCCGTAAATTAGTGCTAGTCCATGTTCAGTTTTTTTTATTAAATGTATATTTATATTTGACCTATTAAATTAGTTTTAAATAAAAATATATATGCTCCAATTTATATATTGTTAAATTATTATTTTTTTCTATTTGAATCGAGATCATATTGTTTCACTATTAACACTTGCAGGTGCTAAAAGACAGCCGAATATAAATGCATGCCTTTTGATCCACAAAACAAGTAATCTATTCACTCGTACGAGATACTAATTAAATTACATGCTCTTGGACGGGTGGGCATTCCGATCTTCGCATCGGGTTCGGTAGGAATTTCAGATTCGGATATTTCGGGTTTAAGGATTTAGGAATTGATCGGATTTTTTAAAAAATTTGGATCGATTCAGTTCAAATTCAGATCGATTTGGGTAATTTATTTAAGATCCAAATATTTTTGAATATAGTTCGGATCCTGATCCGAAGTATCCAAAAGTATCCACATTATTCGAAATATTCATTTCAAAGAACCACTATCAATCAAAACACTTTTGTCAAATTCACATATTTTATTGATTTAGCGATTCGAGATTTCTAATTTGGGTTTTTTTTTAAAAAAATATTTATGCCAATAATAGAGAAAAAATGAAAAAATAACAAGGATAATCCTATAAAAGAGTAAATGGGGTAAAAATATTTCGGATATGTTGGATACTTGTTCGGATCTCGGTTCAGGGTCATACCCGAAATCTGAAATGAAAAATTATCAGATCCGATCGGTATTTATATACTTTTGGTTCAGATATTTTCAAGTTTTTTCGGGTCGGTACCGAGTAAGTACTGAATCCAGATTTTTTGCTGAATCCTATTCTTGGTTATATTTAAGTGTTTAATTTTTTTAAAAAAGACACTCATAATGTTTAACTTATTTAACGAGACACTCGGCCCATTCTTAAATTACACGCTCTTGGTTGTGTTATTGATTCTGCTGCGCCACCCAAAACTTTCGCAGTAAAATTCATATACCTTCAAAGATTGACCGATTTGATCCATTGACCTCGTCTTTGCTCGTGAAAGGATTAGGGATTAGTTTCTCCTAATCAATATGGCTCTGATTGGTAACCTGCGGAATGGTGGAATTGTGTTTTTAAACACAATTCCGCAGGTTTTTTGTCAATCAACAAAAACCCGCGTAATGAAAAAATACACACAAAAACCCGCGTATTTTTATTTGCTTAACAAAAATACAAAGAAAAAATCATTCCGCAGAAAAGCGACTTATAAGTCGCTTAATCTATTCCACAAGATTTTTTCCGCAATTCCGCCATTCCGCAAAGTTACCAATCAAAACTTATATTTCTTTTTCGCTGGCCTTTGATGGACTCATTAATATAATAATTATAAATATTTGTGACTTTGTCTATAAATAATTAAAGATTTGGCAAACGTCAAAAGTTGAAAACCCTACAGCTCTTCTTACCACAATATCAACTACGATCGATGATGTCCATCCTTTCAGAAGATTTGGTAGAGGAGATACTCTCTAGGGTTCCGGCTACATCTCTGAAAAAATTACGTTGTACTTGTAAACAATGGAACTCATTATTCAATGATCATAGATTCTCCAAGAAGCACTTTGAAAGAGCACCAAAGGAGTTTCTTGTTCTCATGAGGTTTACGTTTAAAGTTTATTCAGCTATTTTTGATCTCAGGGGAATTCGAAGCAAAATTGATCCATCTATAGAGGTTAAAGGTGAATTTGGCCTACTTGGCAGCTCTCTAATCTCTCACTGCAACGGATTATTGCTATGTCGTGAGCGGACAATGGATTACGGTAGAAAACTCAGAGTTTATAACCCGTGTACGGGGCAAACAAGGTCGATTGACCTCAGAACTGATAACAGAAAATTCGAATGGTTTTCTCTTGGATACAAAAACAACAAATCTTCTAGTGCCAGCTACAAAATTTTGACGTTTGATTGTTGTGCTGACAACTTTTTTGCTGAGCTTCAAATCTATGAGTTTAGCTCTAATTCATGGAGGATTTTTGATGATGTCAATCCTGATGATTGGCGCTTACCATTACGTCGTCGTCGTGGCGTATCTTTGAAGGGAAATACATATTGGATTGCTTCAGATACAAGAAACGCATATCATGGGTTTTGTTGCGATATCTTTTTGCTAAAATTTGATTTTACAGAAGAGAGATTTCAACGTTTGTGTCTGCCGTTAAATTGTGATGCTTGTGACTTCAATACTATGGTGCTGTCTACTGTAAGGGAAGAGAAACTTGCTTTCTTAGTTCAGAGTGAATTTGAATCAACTATGGAGATATGGTTAACCAAAAAGATCATATTTGATATGTCCAACGACATGTCGTGGAGAAAGTTGTTTAGAGTGGATTTGGGTTATAATATGTTTAAGAATTCGATGAGTTTCATGGTGGATGAGGAGAACAAAGTAGCAGTGTGTTGTGATAGAGACAAAGGTGATGATTACAGGACCACCAGCAGAATGTTTATTGTTGGAGAGGATAAATTCAGACAAATGGATCTTTCTGGAGATTCTGCAATTCGACCAACTCCTTGGGTGTCTGAGCCATATTTCTTGAGTTATGTTCCAAGTTTGATTCAATTTTGAGAAATTATTTTAGTGGTATTTTAAGGATTTTCATATTCTTATTGTTTATGCAACATTTAGTCTGTGTATTCTAAACGGGAATTTTATCCCTTTTTTTCTGCCATGTTCAATTGTCATGTGAAATACACATTTCTTTTATCTATATCAAATATAATCTCAAACTGAAAGATATAGGTTTTTATTGGTAACATTGTGCTTCTAAATTATGTCTATAATTTTTTCTAATCTTGTTCTACTATCGTCTTTAATCTTTATTATACCAATTAACATCTTTTAACAGTAGATCTTATTACAACAGAACCATCATTATCTCTTGACGTACCAGCAGTTTTTAACCACTGGATCGATACCTAAATTAATTCCCGAGGCCTATAAAAAGCCAAATATTCTTACCATATACAATGTCTATAGTGGCCAAGAAAATACCATACCGCGCGAGCACCATAATGATTTTGTAGATGGTAAAACACTGTAACTCGACGCATGTCTTTGACCCACAAAACAAAGTCATCTACTCACTCGAACGAGATACATACTAACTAATACACGTTCTTGGTTATGTTTAACTTCTTAACTTGGCCCATTCTTAAATATGATGTTTAACTTTATAACTCAAAACCTTGGGCAGTGCCCAATATAATAGCCAAATTTCTAGTTTTGCGTCAGTCCCAATTCTAGTTATAATCGAACCAATAAATGAATTTGGAATCATGTCCACAATTCCACAACTTTATAAAAGGCATCAAAATTAAACTATGCGTTTTTATATCATTCTCCAGAGTCTTGATCCCCTTAAAACATAACTATATATTTAGGACAAAACTGGAAAAATACAAAACACGACTTAGACGAGTGTCCCACCCGTAACATACTCAGTGAAGGCCAATGCAACGAGACCAAGCATCGCGAACCGACCGTTCCATAGCTCGGCGTCTGAGGTCATGAAGCCTTTGGACTTTGACTCTGCCCTTATACCTTTGAACAACGGAACCATCGATGCTAACGTCAGCAACGCCGTCGTTCCTAGAAACCATCCGACGCCACCGTCAGAGATCTGAGCTAAAACGTTCTCTCCCTTTGAAAGCTCCACCGCGAGCGCCGCCACGAATCCCACCATTGCTAGCCTTCCATTTATCCTCTCAGGCGCCGGACCGCTAAAGGCTAATAAGTCTCCAAACTTCGTACTCACCTGAATAAGTTACAAACCATTCAGCTCACAATTACATAATCAAATTATAAATAATACTAAAGATTTTGTAATCAATTACATAATGAAATTCGCATAAGAAACAACTATTCCCAAACTCTACGATAATTTCTTCAACCACAGTGTATTTGGTTATGATATTAGTGATTTGATAGTACGTACCTTAGGCTTGCTAACTGGTGGAGGAGACAACGGCGTTTGCGGTTGAGTGGCCGAGGTCGAAGGCAAAGAAGAGTCTTCCTTGGTAGGATCGTTCTTAAGAAAATAGTCAATGAAACGAACGGTCAGGATTAAAAGTCAAACAAGAAACGCAGGGAAAGTGATGAGATGAGATATATACCTGAGCCATGCACCTGACTCCCACCGAAGGATTCCTCTTGAAGAAGAATTGGTTTGTGTTTCTGATGTTGCGGGAACTCAATCCATGACCGGAAGGAGCGGCGAACACTGACTGCAAGTTAAACGACGCCGTTGCCATTTCTTATTAGGTTTTTTTACACGTCAAAGATGAAGAAGAGAGTGTGAGAAATGCTGAATAAAACACTAAGAGTTGAGAAATGAGATGGAGCTGGTTTGTGGTGTAACTGATCAAGATCATCTTTGTATTTATAGGGTGGGTGAAGGTGAATGATAGGTCCAGTTATTTTCTGAATTTTATTTTTCTATTTAGATTTTATTTATTAATTATGGGATATTTATTTATTATTATTGGAAAATTTTACTTTTATTTCAAATTATCTTTTTTAAAAATGTATATAATTATTCTAACACATCAAATATACATTTACTACAAAAATTTGCACATGATATCCTAATCCTTGACACAACCTACCATGAACCAAAATTTGCAGTAATATTTTATTTTTAATATACATCAAATTTAATTAGGAATGAAACCATTTAGGGAAAGAAAAACATATAGATTCTTAGACAAATTTTTTATCGAATTTGATAGTTTGGATAAGGTGGAGATGTTTTCCGACTTAGGAGATTTTTTTCCATCCTTATTATCAGTAATTCTATACATGAATCATAGAAAATCTGAAACAGTCAACATACATGGATTTGAGTTGAACGTTATACAAATAAACACGTATGCAATAATTTACAAAAAAAAAAAAAAGAGAGAGAGAGAGGAAAATGAGATGAGGATTTGTAAGAAGCCACGTCTAGTTGAAAAAGTGCAAGTGAATTGATGACTTGGTTTGATTCAGCATCACACACAAACATCTTCCTTGTCGTTTTCTGATTGGCGAAGGCCAAGTGGGATTTGGTAATAAAACACGTAACAAAGATTTTATCTCACAGACAGTATTAAAAACAAATGCATGGCTCACATAATATTCACTCGTAAGTTTTGTTTCTGGTATAGTTTTTATCGTGAGAGGTCGCATTCATTTCGTATCGTGTTTGGAATTTACTTAACTTCATTATGGCAAGACCCATGATGGTTCTTTTGATCTTTTCTGTGTCCCATTTACGTCTTCGTGCCCAAATCTCCTACGTGCAAATTATTTTGGAACGGTAATATGGAGCTGAAATATTTACAAACTGAATTCCAGATTTGAAGTACCACCCACTGAAAACGTTATTCTTTGCCAAAGGTATATACAATTTTGCTTATACATTGGCAAAAATAAATATGCGTTTTACCAAAAATAAAAATAAAAATAAATATGCGGATGGTACATCTTAATATTAAAACACACATAAAAGCCCAACACGGACCCAACTTTATGACTCGATACTATTTACAAAATTCATGTAACTAAGGTTTCTTCTTATGAGCATTGATTTAAACACCTTTGAGGATTGCAACAGAGTAAGTAACTGTCCTTCTTCATTTTGTAAAATATCTATAAAGATATTCTAACTCTTGGTTCTTCATTTACGTATTCATCTCTTTTAGTTATTTTGCGCATAATCAAGCCAATGAGCTATTTTAGTTTATAACATGTCTTTGTTTTCTATCTTATTAGGGTCTTATAAGAGCATGAATCATCCTTGTTCTGGGTTCTCTTAATTTGCATCCCTCAAAAGTGTTTACATCAATGCTCATTATTACATGGATGAATTGGTATTGGTTCATAAGGCTGGGTTTGTGTTGGTTTTTGTGTATGCTTCAATACTTAATTCTTATTGGAGATAACTCATTTTTTTGTTGAAAATGAATGGTTTTGGAAGAAACTTATCACGTGATAATATACATGTTATAGTATCAAATACGGAATAACTATGACCATTACTAGAGTATTGTGGATGGAGTTCAAGATGATAAGTGTTCTTGTGACTAACGAAGGAACCATATACTTCAAGTCTCCAAGACTCCAATGAGATTTCTGTTAAAGAGAGAATAACGTGGCTTGAATCCCTTAGTTTCTTATTCACATCATAAGGTTCCTTATATACAAGTCGTAGCCCCAATACCCTAATCTACTTAAGTATAATTACACATAATATTATAAGCTTAACTATATTTACATTATAGTCCCTAATACTCCCCCTCAAGATGGAGCATGAAGATCCTGAATGCCCATCTTGGAACGAAGATAAGCAAACTGTTGAGAACCCAAAGCTTTGGTAAAAATATCCGCTAGCTGCTCATGTGTTCGAACATGAGATGTAGCTAAGACTCCCTTTTGTATTTCATCACGTATAAAGTGGCAGTCGACTTCAAAGTGCTTCGTACGTTCATGAAATACCGGATTGGCAGCGATGTTTAAAGCTGACTTGTTATCACACGACAACTTCATTGGCATAGAATGAGAAACTCCAAACCCCGTGAGAAGAGCTTTATCCCATTGGAGCTCTCGCGTCGTATAACCCATAGCCCGATACTCCGCCTCCGTTGATGAGCATGAAACTGTTTCTTGCTTCTTTGTTTTCCAAGCCACAGGCGAGCCACCAATGAGAATCACAAAACCGGTCAAAGATCGTCGTGAAACCGGACATGTAGCCCAATCTGAATCACAATATCCATGTATCTGCAGGTCCGATGTCGCGCTCAACAGAATACCTTGTCCGGGACAACTCTTTAAGTATCGCACTACCCGACTCGCAGCGTCCCAATGTTTACCCCGTGGCTGTTGCATATGTTGTGCCAGAATATGCACCGCGTAAGCGAGCTCCGGACGTGTATGCGTAAGATACACTAATCGTCCGACAAGCCGTCTATATCTCCCTGGATTGCTGTAAAGTAACCCATCCGGTTCACTAAGTTTGTGATTCTGTTCCATCGGAGTGGCAACCGGTCTGCCACCCAAAAGTCCACATTCAGAAATGATGTCCAATGAATATTTACGTTGTGACAAATAAAAACCTTCTGGTGAACGTGACACTTCGATACCCAAGAAGTATTTAAGTGGTCCAAGATCTTTCATGTGGAAACACTTACTCAAATACCCTTTGAACTTTGCGATCATATCACTGTCGTTCCCACCAATTAGCAAATCATCAACGTAAATCAAAACGTACAGCGAGCTGGTTCCCCGTCGCAATGTAAAAAGCGAGTAATCAGAGTATGATTGGACAAATCCATAACTCCGTAACGCAGCTGTTAGTTTTGCAAACCAGCACCTCGGAGATTGACGTAACCCATACAAGGACTTCTTTAGCTTGCACACTTTTGTCTTAGTCGAAGGAGAGAACCCCGGAGGCAACTTCATATACACTTCCTCCTTAAGGTCCCCATGTAAGAATGCATTATGTACATCCATTTGATGGACTTCCCAGTTTTGAATTAAGGAACATTCTCACCGTTGTCATCTTGACGACTGGAGCGAACGTCTCGTCATAATCAATACCCTCCTTTTGCCTATTACCAAACACCACCAGGCGTGCTTTGTAACGTTCCACTTCGCCCGTCGAACGAAACTTTACAGTAAACACCCATCGACATCCCAGTGCTCTCTTATTGGAAGGTAAATCCCGGTGGTGGAGAGTGTTCGATAAGCTCCACATATATCACAATGAACCAAATCAAAAATACCAACTGATTTATTCGAACTTTCAGGAAAATAATCACGAGTTTGTTTTGCCCTCAAACAAATGTCACAAACTGAATCAGAACTAACATGCTTCCCAATATCTAAAGAACTAGGTAAATAGGATAAAACACGAGTTGAGGGATGGCCTAGACGTTGATGCCACAACTTCTGCAAATCTGAACCCACGACCTTGTGGCTCTTCGGACCAAGCACACCTCTGAACACGTAGACCCCCCCCCCCACTCTTCACCCGCTCCAATCAGCGTCTGCGAGGTACGGTCCTGCAAAATACACATTTCATCAGTGAATGTAATCGAACCCTTTATAGCTTTTAGAAGTTTGGCTACAGAGATCAAAGAGCAAGTGAGATCCGCTGAATACAACACTCCATATATCCATAAATCTCCTCCTAAACATAAATCTCCTTGTTTTGTTGCCACTGCAGAATCACCATCTGGTAGACCAATCGTGCATGGTACGATATCGAGTACGTTACGTAATAACGCCAAGTTCCATGTCATATGGTGCGATGCACCAGTGTCTATAATAAATTCGGTACCTTGCTCCTTACCCTGTAACTTGTCACTGTTGTCTGCTTTTCGTGAGTTCATGAACGTCATTAAGGATGTCCACTGCTCGTCACTTAACTGTGGTAACGCTCCTCGATCATACTCATCACGCCGTGCAGCATTGGCCTGAGCTGGTGGGTGCACCGAAGCAGCATTTGCATTTGCACGTCCACCTCCTCTCCCATATCGGCCTGCTACCCCTCCTCCTCTACCAGATCTCCCACGAGCTCCACTTCCTCTGCCACCTCTCTCACCGAACCATTCTGGATACCCGATAAGTTGAAAACAGTCAGCTTGTGCATGTCCATACTTATTACAGTATGTACATGTCACGTCTTTATCACGTATCTGAGACGGAGGTGTTGGTTTCTCCTTTGCTTGTCTTCCAAGCTGAGCTGAAAACCCTACCGCTTCACTCGTCACCTCGCGATTGCGTTGCATGGTTTGTTGTCTCTCCTCGCGAACAATTCGCTGATAGACGACCGCAAGCTTGGGTAGTGGATCGATACTAATGATGGATGATCTCACAGTCCCAAAGCAAGCCGAATCCAACCCCGTGAAGAACGTATTAGTCCTCTCTTCATCACGATCATCAGCTAGTTGCTTTGCCAATTCCCCACAACTACAAGTCCGTAAAGGCTTGTAGACGTTCAATTCATCCCACATCTTTTTCAATCTGCCATAGTAAACCATGACAGGATCTCTATTCTGGCGACAGTTAGCGATATCAGCTCGTTGTTCGCTAACCCTAGGCCCGTTCCCTGCCGAGAACGTCAACTGCAAATCTTCCCAAAGTTCTTGTGCATCTTCCACCATCGAGACAGAAGTTCTCAAAGTTGGTTCGATGGTATTCATCAGCCATGCCACCAACATCGAGTGCACAACTCCCCATTGTTCGAGACCCTTAGCCGTCGTAGGCTTCTCGATAGTCCCGTCAATAAACCCTGTTTTTCGCTTCGTTCGCAAGGCGTTCCGCACATGCTTTGCCCAATCTTCATAGTTCTCACCCTTTAGTTGCACCGTAGTG